CTTTATCTAAACGATGTTTTACTTTGAAACTTAATTTTCTTCTGACTTTTTTTTTTTTTTTTTTTTTTTTTTGAGAAGGAAGAAGTTGGTGATACATGTGGTAGATGGATTATATCATGGCCCCAATTCTTTATCCCTCCCGGTACCAGGCCCTGAGCTGGGGAAATGTGCAGGATTCTGACTCTGGGCCCAGCTGTAGGACTTCTTTGGGCCAATGGGATGCTCCTCCCCCTCCCACTCCTTCTCCTCCTCTCCCCTCCTTCCCCCTCCCCCCCCCTTGCCCTCCTTCCTCCCTTCTCCTCCTCTTTCCTCCCTCCTCCCTCTCCTCCCCCCTCCTCCCCCTCTTCTCTCTCCTCTTCCCGTCCTCCCCCTCCTCCTCCCCGTCTTCCCCTTCCTTCCCCTTTCTCTTCCCCTCTTCCTCTTCCTCCTCCTCTTCCTCCTCCCCCTCCCCTTCCCCCTTCCCCCCTCCTCCTCCTCCCCCGCCTCCTCTTCCTCCCAGTTCAGCATCATTTTGTTACTACTTGTTACAACTACAAGATGTTGATAAGACTGGTAGGTTGCAGGATCCCCATTTTACAGAGACAGAAACGAGGCTCAGAGATTAAGTCACAAGCCCAGGGTCACACCTCAGTCAGTGGCTAAGGCAGGAAACGCTCTCTGTGATTCCAGTTGCTGACATGTATGGAGTACGATCTTCATGCCAGTACTTTCTAAAAGCTTTACATGTGCAGCCCTAGCCGGTTTGGCTCAGATGATAGTGTTGGCGTGCAGACTGAAGAGTTCCATATTCAATTCTGGTCAAGGGCTTGTACCTGGGTTGCAGGCTCCATCACTGGTCCTGGTTGGGGCGCATGTAGGCCGCAACCAATCAATACGTCTCTCTCCCGTCGATGTTTCTCTCTGTCTCTCCCTCTCCCTTCCACTTTCTCTAAAAATCAACGGAAAAATATCCCTGGGTGAGGATTAACAAAATAAATAAATAAACAAAAGCTTTACATCTGTTATCTCACGTCATCCTCAGAGCACCCCCATGGGGGAGATACTGTTGTCAGCACCATTTGAAAGATGAGGAGATGGAGTCCAGGGGAGGTTGAATTGTCTGCTCAAGGTCATGTAGCCTGCGAGGGCCAGAGCCCGTGTTGGAACCCAGGCAGTAGACAGGCTCTTAAAACTGAAGCGCTCTAGCCGAAACTGGTTTGGCTCGGTGAATAGAGCGTCCGTCTGCGGACTGAAAGGTACCGGGTTCGATTCCGGCAAGGGCATATACATTGGTTGCAGCACATCCCCAGTGAGGGGTGTGCAGGAGGCAGCTGGTCGATGTTTCTCTATCCCTCTCCCTTCCTCTCGGCTCTCTGTGGAAAATCAATAAAATATATTAAAAACAAAAACAAAAAAACAACTTAAGCGCTGTAGGTAGTAATGCGGCTGTGATTATTCTGGGCCCAGCGGACTGGGCGTGGCAGGGATCAGAAGTTTCCAGAAGCTGAGAAGTGGAGGTATGTCACATTGAACCCTGGGCCGTTAGAGAATGAGTAAGCCCTCGGAGGTCCCTACTGGACTACGTTTCCACCTAACGTACATGTCTGTTCTTGGCAGCTCTGACCAGTGATCACTCCGCCCCTGCAATATGGTGCCTCTAGTCTAGGGGTGTCGAACTCAATCAGAGAAGGGGCCAAAATCTAAAATCCAGCCTAAATTGCGGGCCGAATGGTTTACTGAACAGTCATAAACTGTCATTGTGATGGAAACGCAGCGGAGTGCAGTGATGACAGCGCGGTGCGGGCCACATTGCAAGGCCTGGCGGGACGGATTTGGCCCGAGGGCCTTGTGTTTGACACATGTGCTCTAGTTCATCATTGAGCACGTCTGGTCCAGCCCCCGGGGCTCTCACTAAATACTTGGCTCCTCTTCTGCCCCCTACCCCCCACCCCTAATTAAACCTGAGTTTACCTCCTGAATAGGGGAAACATCACAACTCTGGAACACAGTGAGCTCAGCCCTCGTCCCCTCCGCCTGCCCTTCATGGCCCAGAGTGAGGAAGGGACAGACCGTCCGGGCTGGCACCCCAGTGGAGGATGAGCTGACGGTTTCTGTGGCCTGTGGGTGGTAGAGAAACAGAAAGAGCTTGCTGTGATTCCAGAAAGAGGCGGCTGAGAAGGACCCATAGGACTTTCCAGGCCAGAGGACCCTGGAAGCAGGCTGCAGGCCATTGCAGGTTGGTGTAACTGGCCTTTTGGAGAAAATGGTGAAAGTCAGAGATTTTCCACTCCCAAAATGTCCACATAGACATAACTTTGCTTACCACATACTATTGCTTAGTTCATGGGTCCCCACACCTATTCAAGGTCTCTACGGAAGAATCCGGATCCAGAGAGCCCCTGCCATCTGATTAGGATTAAGATCCCGAGAGGAGGGGTGCTCCTAGCCAGCCTTCCAGCAGGATGTTGGGATCTTCTCTGGCCCCAGAGGCTGAGAGGAACCTTCCTCTTACTCCCGCACCTGTCCATTGCACTGGGTCGCCATAGTCTTTAAAAAACGTGGCCCTCAGACCAGCAGCTTTAGCATCACCCGGGAACTTGTTAGAAATGCCAATTCTGGGTGCGGCCCAACAAACAGTCTTCGCACCACAGACCCTCCCCGTGATTCTGAGGATTGCTCACGCGTGAGAAGGGCCGCTGCAACCAATCCTCTGCTCTGTGCCGGGCCTGCCCTACGAACACAAAGCGCTGGGCACACAGTAGGTCCTCGGTGAATATTGGCTGCTTCGTGTTCCCCTGACTCCCAGAGCAGGCTCCCTGCCTTGTACCCTGTAGCCCTGAGTCTGGTGCCTGCAATGTTATTTAGACCCAGTTTCTTCCTATTCCAGGACTTACGGTCGCGCGTAGTTAGCTCCTCTAGGCAGAGGAGAAGGCTTGGCCTTGAGGAAGGTGCCCCGAAACCACCGCACAGGGGAGGAACCAGAGTCATCGAAGCTGGCAACACCTGTCCAGGCTACAAGGCCTCAGCCACCCGGTGGATGATGGGCAGGCAGGCAGGCAGGCAGGGGGCTGACGGGCCAGCTAGTATGCCTAGGGCTCATGGGAACCCAGCTCTGCCCAACTCTGCAGGCCGCCCTGATCCCGTTGGTGCCTGCCTTACGCCAGCTTTGGCAAAGTCTGCTGAATCTATGCCAGGGTGGCAGGCTGGCAGGGAGGGGAAATGGTCACTTTATTTTTAATGACTCTTCAACTTTTGGGGGAAGTTGAAGAGTCATTAACTGTGTGTGTGTGTGTGTGTGTGTGTGTGTGGTCCCTGGTAAGATTGTCTCTTAATTCTATGTCTCCTATGGAGAGCTACATCCCCACAATTCATTCTTCAGGTGGAGGATGTGTCTTCTATACTGTCCCTCAGTTTCCTGATCTTCATTTTTAAAAACTATATTCTTATTGATTTCAGAGAGAAAGGGAGAGGGCGAGAGAGAAACATCAATGATGAGAATCATTGATCAGCTGCCTCCTGCACGCCCCCTACTGGGGATCGAGCCCACAACGGCAACCTGGGCATGTGCCGTGACAAGAGCATCAAACCTGACATCCGACATCTGTCCAGGTTCATAGGTTGATGCTCAGCCACTTAGCCACGCCAGCAGGCAGTTTCCTGGCATTTAAAAAATATTAACTTTTCTGAGGAGTGCACAGAAAAATGACCTGTAATTCTTTTTGTTTCATATCGATCCAGCTCTTAATTTTTTTGGTGATATTTTTTAAAGGTGGGGGCCGTGCGAAGAGTCCTGTTTATCCTTAATTTCTAATGGTTTTACTTTTTAAAAGTAACCTCATAGTTTTCTCTTGGGGAAGGGCAGAAAAAAATTTCCCTCATCTCATATATAAGCAGTTCTTTACGTTTTTATTCCAAAAATCCATCAATCGTGGGAGATGTAGGATGGACACAGTCATTCCTCAGTCTCTTGGGGAGCAGGTCCTTCATATTTCATTTTTTTTTTTTTTTTTAAAGAATCGATTCTTGGGGCAGTGAGGAGGAGAACAGGAAAAAAAAAATCCCCATTAATACTTCCCAAATTACAAGAAGTCAGTTCTGAAAAAAAAGAAAAAGAAAAAAAAAAGGGTGATTATTTAGGATGCTGGAGGATGTTGGATAGAAATATTCTTGTTCATTTCACATAGAGACAGTTTCTCAAGTTTTTCTTTTGAAAATGAACCCGATTGGGGGATAAGGGGAGGCGTGGCTAACCTCCCTTTAACCTTTAGTAACCACCTTGTCTTACATGGGGCCATGTCTTCAAATTTACTGAAATACACGTCCCTTAAACATTTCTTTTTGGCTAGGGTAAACAGACATACTCTGATCACCCCACATTTCATATAATTATAAAACAGCTCCTCAAACATTTATTTTTTAAAAAATCAATCTGATTGGGGGGGGGGGGTGTCCAGAAAACACTCCCCTAACTGCCCCTCGTCAGAGGTAGGACCAGCTCTCCAGACTTTTACATGCCAGGGGCATTTGGGGAGGGTGGCAGGGGCCACAGGGTCATCTTCCCTGAGCCTTCCATAGGGCCAGCTCTCCAAACTTCATTAAAAAATTTTTTTTTAATCTGGATTATTTTTTTGGGGGGCGGAGGGGGAGCAGAAGAGTTCCCCTTAACCCCTTGCGTCCCGCGGAGAGGCAGCTCCCCAAACTTTTTTCCCAGCGTGGCCATGACCTTTCGGTGGGGCTGGGGAGCGGGGGCCGGGCCGGGGGGCGCGGGAAAGTTTGGGGGGCGGGCGCGCCGCGGCCCCGGGGCTGGCGGGCGGGCGGGAGCGGCGCGCCCGGGGCCCGGGCGGCTTTGTGTGCGGCGCGGAGGCCGAGGCCGAGGCCCGGAGCTCCGGGGGGGCGGGCGCGGGGGGCGGCGCGGCGGCGGCGGCGGCGGCGGCCGCGCGGGCTGGGGTGGGGGGCGAGGCCGGGAGCCCCCCCGCGCGCCCCCGCCCCCCCGGCCTGAGCGGGGCGGGCGGGCGGGCGGGCGGAGCGGGAGCGGCGGCGGCGGCGGCATTGTGCGCGCTCCAGCAGCCCGGCCGGGAGGAGAGGACGCCGGGCCGCCGCCTCCCGCGGTCGGTCGGACCCATGCACCAGCCGGGCGGCGCGGCGGCTCCGCAGGTACGAGGAGGGGGCCGGGGCGAGCGGCGCGCGGGGGGCCGGGGGGCCGCGGCCCGGGGCGCTGCGCCACTTCGTTGCAACCTTTGCAAGATGCAAAGTGCCCGGGCACGTTTGCGGGCTTTTTTTTTTTTTTTTTTTTTGTGGGGGCCCACGGGAGGGTCGGGGTCTGGATCGGGGCACCCCCCGCCCCCGGGCGCCGCGGGGTGCGGGGAGGGTGGGAGGCGCGGCGGGGTCTCCCCGGACCCCCCCCTCGGCGCCCTCTCCGGCCCCGGGCTCGGACCGGAGCCCAGAAAACAAAGCGGTGTTGGGAGAACAGAGCAGCCATTGCAGTTTGGACAATTCACATTTTGCAAAAAATGCAACCCCTGCCAGCCCTCCCCCCCTCCCCTCCAAATTTGCAATTTCCCCCGGACCCTCTCCGCGCTCCCGGCTCCTGGGGACCCCCCGGAGGTCTTGGCTCCCTGGCCCCCCATCTTTGCAACAATTTCTCTCGCTCTCTCTCTTTTTTTAGGCCATATTTCCCTTTCTCATTTTTTTTTTTCTAATTTTTCTTCAAACGGTAGTTTTTTCCCATTAAAACGACGCCACCTAGAGGATACTATTCTGTAAATAAAAAAAAAAGAAGAAATTAAAATTGAAAAGAAAATCATTTTTATTTCTTATTTTTTCAAAAGTTTTCACTAGAAATCGGTGGAGGGGAAAGGGATTCTTCTTCTTTTTTTCTTTTTGGGGTGAAAATTTTCTCTTTGATCTTTCCAGCAGCATGAAGACAGTTTTTTATTTTATTTCTGAATCCAGATAATATGTAAATGAAAATTAAGCTGGAATTTGAATGAATTCAGTTTTTTGAAGGAATGAAAGCAAAAAGCTTTCCTAAAACCAGTCACTTTGGCTGCCCAACTCTTTTTTAGTTTGAGAAAAAAAACTAATGGGAATGAGGAAAAGAGGGAAATTGTTGAGTTTGGAGAAAACTGGGAGAAATTGGCTTTATGAAGCAATTAGAAATTGTACTTCATTGTAATTTGGAACTTGTTTAGCTCCGCGGGCAAAAAAAGACTAATTTCACAATTTGGCATTATTTAAGTTCTATTTCCAAGAAGGAAGGATTTAAAAGAGAAAACAGACCCTAAAATGTTGGCTTTGGACACACCCAGAAATTGTAGGGTTTTTTTTTTTTTTTTTTTTTTTTTTCCTTTCCAATTTTGCATTTACATTTTACTGCATTTAAATCCCAAGGTTGTAAAGAAAAACAGAATCTGGAAAAGTTAGGAGTGAAATCTTCTCCTTTTCCCCCTGCGTTTGTTGGCTTTTGTGTTATTCTGTTTTGTTTTGATGGAATAATTGAGATTGTTTTCTGATTTTGTTTTCTGAAAGGTCTAAGCATTTCTTTTTCGTTGTTGTTTTAGTCAGAAAATGTCTGAAACCTTTTTTGAGCAATCTTCAGTGGAAGGATTGTGAATTCATTTCATTCTACAAATTGAGTAGCCCCCAGATTTGTAGGAGAGACCGCCATTAAAATAAGATATGCATAATTAACATTATTATGAAAAAACTAACAGTGGATTCATAGAAGCTCATTTTTTATGACATGCAATTGAATCAGTTGATAAAGACAAGGGTTGAAGAATTCTTGGAGGAAGAAAATTTTCCCTTCTCTGTGCTTGCTCACTCTTCCAATTTGAAAAAATTTATTATTTAAAAAAAAAAAATATCCAGATTGATCTGAGGCCTCTTTGATTGTGATGTGGGCTTGGTAGTTTATTAACATTCGGTATTTCTTTTCTCACAAATTTGATTATTTTCAAAGGGGAAAAAAAATCCATTAGCCTATATCATTTTGGAATGTTTGTGATTTTTTATTTCTTTAAAAGCACAAATTTTACTGACTTAACAAGAAGGAAAGATAAAAAGGGAAAGAGACAGAAAGAAGATGAAAATTCTGATTCTCATCCACTTCTCTAGTGGAATACTCACTTTGCTGAAAAAAATGGGGTAAAACACCAATTCAGCTGATTCTAATATCAAATTTTAATTTAATTTTTGAAGGAAAAAAATCAAAATGCAAACAAAAGCCAAACCCAAAGCTACTTGATGAAAGCATATGTGCTAACAACATTTGATATTTTTTTTTACTTTAAAATATATCAAATGAAGGTGAAAAAAAATTATTTTTTTAGAAGACAAATATTGACTGAATTAAAATTTAACAGATGAAAATAAGGTACCCACCCAAAGTTGAAGGGTTATTTTGTAACGAATTACTATCTGATTGAAATTGCTGAGGGTTTTTGAACCAAAAACCAAAAACAAAATGTTCTAATTTTTCTGTCCCAAAGGGGGGAATATTGTCAGCATTTGCAGGGTGGGATCTTGTGGGGGGTGGGGTGGGGGTGGGGGTGGGGGTGGGGATGGGGTCTGAGGGTGGCCACCAGCTGATCTTGGGAGAAATGGTAGGCCGGTCCATGGATTCCCAACCCTGTTTTGTAGAAATTCAGATTTCTAAGGGGATTTCGAATTCTGTGAAATATATTTGACATTTCCCATCATGGCCATTGCATTTGGGAGATTTTATTTTTTTAGTAACAAAATCCTTCAGGGCTGACTGGCCACATTCTGACATATTTGGAATGAGCTTTTTTTTTTTTTTTTTAAGTAGCATAATTAAAATTTTTTTTTTTCCTGTTGAATTATTTAGGCCGATGTCTAGGGCGGTCAAAGAATTTACAATTTCTAAAGGGCTCTGGTGGCCTCATGAGACAGAAGGCCTGGGTTTAGCAAGAGATAGAGGAGACCTGTGCCCTGGGCTGGGCAGGGGTCGGTGGGCATCCCTACCAGGCATCGGAGAAAAAGTCAGGGTTGTAGAGAACAGGTTATTTCTGGTGCCAGGAATAAAAATGATCGCAGCATTGCCCCTTTGTGTGTCCTGGCTCTCCTGACACACAACTCGGATTCCTTCCTCCCATCCTGCTGAAATTTGGTTGTGTTGTCCACATTTGAAAGGGAACTCCTGGCTAGAAATGGCAAATCATGTCTGTTTTGTAGACCTGTTTTTCTCTCTTGGAAAAAAAAAAAAAAATTGTTGATTCTGATCATGTTTGTTGTAGAGGAAATCGAGGTGCATGATGGGACTGTGGGAGGCGGGGTCAGTTTTCTTTTGTTTCTATTGGCGTCTCCCAGGATTGAGATCTGACCTGGGCCTTGCCTCCCTCCCCCCCTATTTTAGGTGGACGTGTGGCCAGAAATGGACGTGCGAGCTGATTTTTATTAGCCCACGTCCGTTACCGCGCTCTCTTAGAATATTGGGCAAAAAAAAAAAAAAAAAAAAAAAAAAAAATCTGGCAAATTGGACCTGAGGGGTGGTAATTTGATGATGGGCTGCGTTATTTTGGTGAAAGATCATTTATACCCTCTTGCACAGTGGGGACTCTTATTACTTAATGTTTTGCTTTTCAGCCTAAGGAGGTTTGCTGTTTTTTTTTTCTAATAAGGTTTGAAATTTCAAGGGCCTGCTTTATGGCTTGACTTTGGACCGAGCTAGGAAACAGAGTTTGCTTATACTTGAGCCCTGCACCGTGGTGACCGGGAACAAGGCCTCTTGCTTCTGCTGAGGGAGAGCCACAAAGATGGCTGGTCAGTGGAAGGCTGACCTCTCCCCCGGTCCTAGAAAGTAAACAGCCAATGGTTTGTTTCATTTGAGAAACGGAGTTTTAAAAACTCCTCCATTGTCAGATGCAATTCCCTCCCCGTGCTCCCCACCGCCCACTTTTGACTCGGCTCTTGGCATGCTGTTCCCCTGCCTTCTGAACCCTCACGTCTTCTCGGTGGGGAGATAAGGACTTCCTTGCTGGGTCCGGCTGGCTGTGTAACGGACTTTCCATGGCCACGATGAAATGTGAATGTTTCCACGTCCTTAGAATGTGTGGTGCCCGCCGTGTCTCCCACCTGCCAATGCAAAGCGGAGTAGATTTGTGGGTTCACGGGAGTCCTAGCTTTCCCACAGTCTTGCTGTATATGACCTCGGACAGGTCACTTTTTCCTCCTGACCCCCCGTTTTTTGCATTTGTCCGATGAGAGCTTGGGATCCGAGCAACAATAATACCGGTAAGTTTTCATTTCTAATTCTGACTCCCAAGTGGTCGGCAAACTCATCGGTCAACAGAGCCAAATATCAACAGGACAACGATTGGGAATGGCTTTGGAGAGCCACATTTTTTTTAAGCTTAAACGTCTCCTAACGCCACTTCTTCCGAATAGACGCGCCCAGGCCGCGGTATCTTGTGGAAGAGCCACCCTCAAGGGGCCAAAGAGCCGCATGGGGCTCGCGAGCCGCGGTTTGCCGACCACCGTGTTGAGGAGGATTCCGAGCTCACGTCCATGTTCTGGATTGCGGGGTGCAGGGTCTCTCACAGAGTGGGGAGGGCACCTCTGAGTTACCATGCCCAGCCCTGGCTGTTGCCACGACCGGTTGGTTGGTGGATTGTCAAGCCAGTTTCGTGGATCACAGTCAGCATTAAAAAAATAGGCTATCATACCGGGGAACAGAAAGGTAGCAGAGGCGTGGCACAGGCCTGAAGAGCCGGTGGTGTCTCACCAGGCGTGTGTGTTATTTACGTTTGCCGAGGCGTGCTGCACGGTAAGCAATGGCATTGCTCCTGTGAGTCATGGTGAGACAGCTGGCAAGGTGCTGGGCTATGATTCCCCCACGTTACTGCTCAGACTTTATTTTCTCGCCTGTTATCCCCGCTGAGCCTTACGTGCCCCTCGGTGTCCCGGGCCACAGGCTCGCACCCCAGCTTGGTGGCCGTGGCTGGGACCTGAGGGCAGGTGTAGACGAAGGCCGCCTCTTGGCCCGGATTTCTTGCTGGAAAGGAGGTTGTGAGTCGTTTGGAAATCCCTCTGTTGGTGGGAGGGAGCGCTGTCCCCATGACTTTTACCCCTCACTTTCACTGCACATTGCCAGAGGGAGTTCATGGTTGTGTCGTATTTAAATTTTAATCAGA